TTATTTTGGGGTATGGCAAATCACTTTCCCTTTCTCTTTTTCTCCTCTTTTTATATTGTCAGTAAAAGTGTTCTTACTCATCATTTAAGTATGTGTTTAGACCCCTGATTACTAACCAAATGAACAGATGTGTATCTTCTGTCTAGGGACCTACATGTCTTTGGACCCTAAATTACATATGCTTTAAAGAGGCATCTAACTTATATTGTGAGTCTCTGGATTACTGCCCACGAACAATGTTAAAATAGAGCTCAATTTATCTGAACAGAAATCAAATAAGGTTTAGGATTTAATCACCTCGTATATAAAGGGGACTTTATTGCTTGTTTGTTTTTGGTGGGTTTTTTTTTAAATCAGCTCGAAACACGTGTACAGTGTTCCTTTTTACCGTAGCACTAACAGAACCGTAAACAATCGGGGATTGGGGTTGACAATGGTTGAAAAACCTAAATATATTGATTGATTTAATGGGGCTCTATACGTGTCTTTAAATGGTAATGTAAATGTCAAAAGAAATATAATCATGAGAAAAAAGTTTCATTTGAATACTGACGCAGTAAGTCTCCGTAATTATTGAAAGCCAACATCTAATTACAAAAAAACCCAGAAACAGTAATAGATCAGAAAAATAAATAATTAGAGAATCACACTGATACCTGTTTTCGTTTGTAAAATATTTTCATAATTCCAATAATTCCATAATTCCAATAAGTGTCTTATTAGAAATGTACATATCAAATAACAAAACAATAAGTCAAAGAACACATTCACACGCAAGTTTTTGCCATTGTCTCCAACATTGTCAGAAGTGATGCAGTTCCTTTAGGTATAGGTGTACATGGAGGTTTTGTGCATTACTATCTTAATTGGAACTAAGTTTTGTTATCGCAATAAAGTAAGATTCCCGGCACTTTGTCTTCTTACGCTTAGTCATGTAAACTGTTCTACTCACAATGTTTGTGCAACATTCTCAGGGCTCAAACCTCGAAACCTGTTATAAATAAAATCACGAAAATTAATATCCTTAAAAAATGACTGTAAGTGTTGATCAATCTACGACTGGGACATAAACACGGTATAGTGCTATATAAATGGGAACTTGTTAACACCTTAAATATCAGGGAGTCGTTGAATACAAAATTAACAAGAACGGTCGATTTGTTTACAATTAAAAACATGAACTGACGTTTAGGTTTTTTTATTGGTTAAAATATTTTGTATACTACATTTCCAACAAAAAGTTCTTTAATGTATTTTTGACTAAGAAGCGTTATCAGAAACATTCGTCATTTTTTCTTTGAAGTGTATAGATCAAGAAAAAAAGTTAACGTAATTAGTGATTTATTTTGCATTAGACATACCTCCCACTATTTCTCTGGGGCTACTCCAATACCGGCAAAATGACATCAAGGTGACAGCAGAGCTCTCTCATCTCGGCATAGCCACGAATTACATCTTTTTTCTTCTTCGTTGGGTCAAGGCGTTTCAATAGGTTTTTGTAGTTTGTGATTGACTTTGAAAAGTTTCGCATTTTCTCGTTAATCTTCTCGGTCAACATGTTAAATATGATGTATTCAAGATGACCCAAAGTATATTCTTCTTTAAGAATTTGTTCTGTCCATCGATTAAGGTGCTCTAATTTATTGGCCTTATATTTGGAAAACTTTTGATGCNTGACCCAAAGTATATTCTTCTTTAAGAATTTGTTCTGTCCATCGATTAAGGTGCTCTAATTTATTGGCCTTATATTTGGAAAACTTTTGATGCTGTTTTCCTTTCAGGACTGCACACGTAACTGGAAGAACTGTTAGCACTCCCGCGATGCCCAACGGAATCCAAAGTGGAGAAGTTAACACTATCGCAGCAATTTCCTTTTTGTTTAAATCGGCTGTGTGTTCTTTGATAGGTAAATCTGTGGCGGTTTCTTGTGCTGATACTATGTCCTTTTCAATATTTTTCAAAAAGCGCTCCATCTTGGCTTCCTTTTCTATGATATTCAGTGTGATTTTGAGCAGCCGGTCCATAAGGTCTCCTGACTCTGACTTGCATTCTTCTACGTAATCACCAATTGCTTTCAAGACGAAATTCCGAATAGCAACGCGAGCATAACTTTTGACAATCAAATAGTCATTTTTGTTGGGGATGTCATCTTCTGTCCAGTTGAAAATCCTGTCTTTGTTTGCAGCATCATTAAGATATTGATGAACACGCTTGGCAATGGACGTTTTGACCGTTCCTAAGGCATCGATATTTCTTTTTTCCTTCAAGAAAAAATGTAAAGTTGTATATTATTTAAGTTCGTATTTACCTTGAATGAAACTACATAAGGTTAAACAAAAGTCCTGCATACTATATCAACAACACGAAGCTAATGGGCCTCAAAGCTCACATTAGTTTCAAGGGCCGTATTATGATAGGGACAAGTTTGAAGTCAATGACTGTTTCTAATCTAGACAAGAAGTAAACGTGTCTCAGACAATCAGGATCAGCCATCTTTGGTTTTCCAGACTGGCAAGAAAAAGTCGATATCATACAGATCATTTGACTAAGTTTTGAGTCGGTTCAAAATGCCTAAGCCAATTACGGGCCAAGACGGGCAGCTTGGATTTCGGGTTCGGCAAGAAAACAAACAAGTTTTTGTCAGGGCCTCATTAGGATAAGAAAATTGAATCAAGTGAGAAGTCAATCGTTTCGATGGTTCTTTCGCTGACGCTAAATCATTTCAGCCAATCACAGGCTGTACGAAAATCGTTGTTATTGAGATTGGCACGAAAAGCAACAACACGTGTAAGAGAACTCTTACAAAACATCTCTACCAAGTCCGGAATCTATCACTTCAGTAGCCCTTGTGATGTAACCGAAAATGTTATATTTGTTTACAGACGAGGTACGACACGACGGAAGACAGAATGTGCCCGACGGTGGACTAATACGGATAACAATTGCCTTCATGATCGAACACGTGACCTTAAATAATGAAAGAGATGCATATATTTTGCAGCTATCGCTACCAGAGAGATGGCTTAATGACTGATCTGGTTTGCCTATTTCAATTGGACTTTTTAGACATTTTTCACTTTTTAAAGTAGTTTTGACCTATCACATTAGCAATGCCCTTCCATATGGTAGTATTTAAGATTATAATGAAATCATTTTTACTCAAATCGCTGCTTACATCCTATTTTGGAAATGGCATTAGGCAGTGATAAATGTTCGTATAGTAATATCGTTCTTTAGTCAATACGACAGACAGGATTATTACATGAAAGTTAAAGTAAAGCATTCACGGAAACACACAATAATTATAGAATAACATTGGGTATCTAGAATGTGTTAACAGTGTACGAAATGAATTTTAATGACATAAACAAATTAAAACTGAAAAACATTTTGGAAAAAGAAATACACTAATCACCTCACTTTATTTACCTCTATTTCAGTAGTAAGGAGGGCTAAAACCGCACTAAGGTATCTTTTCTAGTTTTCAACTATGGGACTGGGTATTTTTTCGAAAACTAATTCAATACTTTTTTCAAATGTCACGGGCTAATTAAAACCTGAATGTTCTTGTGTGTGACTTACATCCCCTTTCCCTCCTAAATACTGCTAATGTTAACATTCCTTTTAGATATGAAAATACATATGGTAAGGATATTCCTTGAGAAGTACCTGTTCATATGTAGATTCGAGTTCTGCGATAAGTGTCTGGAGGATCGAGGCTTTCATCTCTTTGCCTTTAGAGGATAGTCCGGAGAAGTTCTCCACTGTATCTAGACAGGTTTTTAAATATTTTAAAAACTTGTCAATGTACCTTTGACGAAAAAAACTCACATTTCATTTAATTGCACCACATACTGAATATATACGACGTTTATGATATAAAAAAAATAAAAAAAATCTTCCTGAGTTGTGCTACACCGTGGAATGGTTTTCATGACCTGAACCTGTTGTTTTCCAACCCAACTTTTACCAGTCATTTCGTAGAATATAACTGTTCAGATCTTTGGAATATTTTTGATATGTTTGTATTTTGATGTATTTGGCGATTCGATTGAATCAGCTAAAATTAAACACGCCAAAACTTTACGGTGCCTTCTCAGCATCTAGATTTCGGCAGATCATATTCCTAATAATTTATTATGAACCTATCAAATGTACCAGTACAAACGTCTGTGAGCTTTACACGGAAAACATTTTTTTCGGGTAGGATTAACACACTTCATGTACATAATACGTTAATAAAGGAGCTATATTTTCTTTGGATTGTGTCACACCTTTTCAATTGTTTTATATCCCTTGATGTATTAGTGTAGTGATGTTCATGGTATACAAGTAAGTCACGTCGTTATTACATGATAACATTCAGAAGATTGCAATCTTGTAAAATTGAAACTGAAGTCACACAACTGTCAGATTAACATTTCTGTTGAAAGACGTTTAATTAATGCCGCCTTGGAGGCAAAAAGCGGGCGCTGAAAAAACAAGAAAGTCGCATTTTAAACAAAGCACGAAATATTCCCGAATTATACTTTACACTGTTCTTATTTTTGATGTATGAAATAAACGGACGTTTATTGGACCGACTTAGCTTGTAAGACAGCAGCCTTTTTTAACCAGCATTTTACAACGCAGCGTATCATCGGATACCATGTCTGGGTTCAGGTCGTAGTGCTGTTGATGCATTTTTGTTTCCATTCAATTACATTGATTTTATTCAGTACAACTCAACTATTATCTTGTGGTTGTGTTGATTATCGTACAAATTTAATAACGTTAACATATGTAATTTTTTGTAAAAACTTTCAAAACTTGGTCTATGAGAAAAACTACTAACTGTTATTAAAACTCTATATGTACAAGTAAAATATTGTGTCAAATGAAACGGAACTTTGTCTGATTTCTTTGATGATGATATTGTTCTCTAACAAGGAGAGATGTTTTCGCCAAAACTTTTCTCTATGTTCATTCATGATTATGTTTTGTTTCATTCCCGTATGGTATGTTTTTCTTTCAGAAATGATTTATCAAAACTAAGTCTTTCCGAAAAACTGTTTCCCACACTTAGTTACAGTTTTTGGCATTGGTACGGATCCTTCAGTGTCCAAAATAATAAATAGTTAAGGAAATTTAACTTTCAAGCTAACACATTAAGAATTCTTTAATTGTCATATGTATATATCAATGAGCATCATTTTTATTTAAGAGAATCTATACTTTGTATTTTTTTTATGTATGTTGTATTGATTAGCCAAGGAACTTAAGTTTGAATAAATCTTGAATATTCTCGGCCAAAGGAAATTTCATAAAGCAAGTCAGGTAGGATTTATATTTGGTAGTTTCGCATAACGAACGTAAAGAAAGCAATTTTCGTTAATATACCATAATTGAAATTGTTTTTTTTTTTCACTTTGCATGCTCCTGCGATCCAGTTATTCGAAAACGAAATACGAAACACGTTTTCTTTACATTAATGTATTTTTTTTAAATGCTGTTTTTTAAGGAATGTACTTATATTTCTTAACATTCCAATGAAATTACTAAAAGTATAAATACCCTGAGTGTATGCTTGACCTTGCGTTTGCACAGTATTGAACAGTTTCTCGAATTTTGTCAAGGACATTTTGGTAATCCGTCGTTGCAGATGTGTAGTCATCAGGATCCCATCTTGAATCTTCTTGTGCTTTCCGAATCTGTAAACATCTGTGTTCCATGTAATTTAACCATGAAAGCTGATAGAGCACTTGCTACGTTTTCTTGGTATTACAAATGTTGTCAGTATAAATATATTTCATTCTTAGTTGGAATTACTTGATACGAAAAAGAGCACCAAAATCAGATTTCAGTTATAGCAGTAGTTGAATAATTGAAATTGTAAAGACTATATGGCATATGTTTTTGTTTAATTGTTAAGTGTTAAGTATCGCCCCGCTCAATCGGCAACGAGCGTCAAATTTTCATTGTAATTTACACTGGCAACATACCTATATGATATATTTTTAGGTACCATTGTAGCTGTAATAACTAACAAAACATCATATTGAACTAATTCAGTTACATAATGCACAGCAATAAATTGACTTCTACACAATCTAAACCAGATAAAACAGCCTTCCAGTTTTACAAAATTTCACAAAAATATTCCATATACTTTTAGAATGAATTGCATTTAATTGCCTCCGTTTTTATAAACCTCTTGCAACACTCCTGGGTTATTTTCCTACACCATTATGTATGTACCATCAGTTAGTGAGGTACTGTTGCCGTACTATGAAGTAATGTGACATGTTAATACAAA